CTTCACCAAACCATTCCATCACAATAATAGCCTCCAGTGGTTAGATCAACAGATCAGGGCAGCCTAATCAGTTATGGTGTTTCTCCTCCTCCCATCCCCCCTTGGGCAGGAAAATCAAGGCCTCGGAGCGCACCCGGAGCCACAAAGGAGCACAAATGCGAGCCCCACCCAGCCCATCGGATGCAGAAGCCCTGGATATAGACTCCGAGGAGGATCTGCAGATTGATGAAACGCCACGCAGGGAAAGGAGGAATCTGTTGCTGCACAAGAAACTTTCCAGTATGTGGCCCCTTCCATCCACCCGTGGTGGCTCTTGGTGGTGGATGCATTTCTCTTGGGTTGGGCAAACACCTCCTAGGTGTTCACTCGTGCTACCTCTGGTCATTTTTCTGGCTGTCTCCTTCATCTCTGTTCCAGGCCTCCCTTCAAAATGGTCTTTTTGGACAAAGCTCAGAGTTAGACTGCATTGTGCATGTATTGTACTTGAGGCTGGGCTGGAGGGAAAGAGAAAGCTAACCCAGGTTCTTCTACAGCTGAATCAAATAGGCAGATAAGCACTTTTGCTTTTTTTTGTTTTCCTTTCTTTTCCATAACAAAATCCCATCATCTGTCTGCTAAGAGCTATTGGCTTCTGGAATTTATTAGGAGTTGCTTATGTGCTTTCAGCCACATGGTTGTAATGGCAAGAACTTAAAAATAATTACCACCGACACGTTTATTGTTCTGCGGCTAACACTATCACCAAGGCTTGAAACTTGTTTTATAGAAACTAAAGCTGGAGTTTTAGGGAAGCTAAATTCTGCGTTCCCTGCCATATTCTTGATTTTTAAACATATTTTTGGCGCGTGACTATAATTTAAAATGTGACTTTGCTGTTCTGTCTTTCCTGCTATCAGTCATCCTTTCCTGTCTTCATCTTTAGTAGTCATTTCCCAAACTCCATTCTCTTTTTTCACCTTTGACCTCCTAATCTCATTGAGAGAGGCTGCATACTCTCCACACCTCCTTCAGATGGTTATGAGGGTGCTTGTTAATTTCCAAAGCTGTTCTGCTTGTCGTTACTATAAAATTATAAAATGGCAAGCCAATCCCATATATGTTTTCTTGGCAGGAGGTCCCATCACGATCTGCAGAGCTGATTCCTGCGTAGGTGTGTGTGTGTAGGATCACCATCATCTGAATCACAAGAGCAACACATGTCTCTTTTTGTGGAATCAATACATTTCAGTTTGACTCACAGCTTCTGTGACTCCCCAGCCTTCCCTCAGTGTCCAGCAACTCATTTTAACGTTTATGTTCTTCCGATTCCAGAATTTCCTCGGAAATTGCCACGAGCCAAACCCTGTTCCGACCCAAATCGAGTGCGGGAGCCAGGGGAAGTAGAATTTGACATTGAGGTAAGTCTGGTGGCAGCACTGCAGAGTTGTGACGACATTGTAGGATCACCATCTAGGAGTGGGAGTTAATTGTGAGTTCAGGGTTTGGGCTCAGGATCCATTTTTAAAAGCTTGAAAAAGTTATGAGAAGTGAAATAGTTTCTCAGCACGCCTTGAACATCTTCCCTGCGTCTTGGTGTGATCTTGTTCAGCCAGCAAACATCTGAGATTAGAGGTTACCAGTCAGTCTTAAGGACATAGTAATTACCTTGTCAGACTCAGCCAAGCTACACTATTGTTTCAACAGTGACCAGATGGCCACGATGGGAATTGAAGCCCAACACTTCCAAAGCATACCAGGTTGGGGAAGGCTGTTGTAAAGCATTAGCTGCTTTGTTGGCTGCATGCCGATAAATAATATTTAGTTTAATTTTAACTGAATGTTTCAGTTTCGAGGCCACCTGACTTCACGACTCTGGGCGGCTAACAGTTTAAAAAGAATTTTAAAAAGCAGCAGATATCAAAGAAAACAGAGTACAACTGACTGGGGAACCCCCCTACACACACACACACACACACACACAAAGGATACCGAAAAGCCAAGGGGCTCAACCACTGGGGAACCCCCCTACACACACACACACACACACACACACACACACAAAGGATACCGAAAAGCCAAGGGGCTCAACCACTATCCTAACAACCGGGTTTTTACAGTTTTCCAAAAATCACTAAAGCGGGAACAGGATAGATCTCTGGAGGGGTGTCATTCCAGAGGGCAGGAGCCATCGCCAAGAAGGCACACTTCCTGGGTCCCACAAGATGACATTGCTTAACCAATGGGGCCCAGAGCATGCCCACTCTAGCTGGCCTCACCAGATGGGCAGAAACAAATAGACACAGGCCCTGTGCAGGTGGTAACCAGCACTTTGAATTCACCCAGAAGCCAACTGGCAACCAGCTGTACTTTCTAAGTGGGTGGAACATGAGTGGTGTTTCATCTGCTTACTCATTTCAGGTACCCTTTTCTTCTATAGCTTCAGTATTCATTAGGAGATGAAGCAATTAGATTCGCTCATACTTGTAATGTATTTTCTGTTTTAGTTTGTTTTTTCATATTTTTTATACTTTTTAATTTATTTATTGACTATTTTTTAACTCTGTTGTACGCCATCCAGAGTCACTTGGGAAAATGAGATGGCAGCTAATAAATTGTGTAAATAATAAAAAAAAATAACTGGGCCTGGTTAATAATTAAAAAGAAAGAAAGAAAGAAAGCAAAAGAAAAAATTTGCTTGGGCCAAAACACTACAGTCGCGTTATGATGTTTGCTAGTTAAGCTTTGATTTCTTTCATTACTAAAAGGTACATTTGGAATAGGAGAAACTTTGTCTGGTGGAAATAATGGGACAGTAGAGTTTCTCCTAGATAACTCCCATAATTCATGACTATTCCTCATGTTGGCCGGGACTAATGGGACTTGTAGACCAAAATCTATAGAAAATGTGAGGTCATTCTGAGTGGAATATGCATGGAACTTTGCCCAGGCCTGATGCTGTATGTTGGAGGGTGTGAGGATCCAATGCATGATTCAAAGGCTTACTTATTTGATATAATTATTCTGTATAGTATTTGGGTTTTTTGCTTTCCTCCATGTTACACATTTGCCTGAGAATGGTGCCCTGGGGTGATAAGTCTCTTTCAAGTCAACCCCTACTGGCCAATGGATAAATCAGAGAGCCAGTTTGGTGTAGTGGTGAAGGTGCTGGCCTAGAAAGCAGGAGGTGGTGAGTTCTAGTCCCGCCTTAGGCATGAAAGCCGTCTGGGTGGCTTAGGGCCAGCCCTGCTCTCAGCTCAACCCACCTCACAGGGTGATTGTTGTGGAGGGAGAACTATTAGGTATGTTCATCACTTTGAGTTATATACAAGGCAGGAAAACGATGATGGTGGTGGTGATGGTGATGGTGATGGTGATGATGATGGTGGTGGTGGTGATGATGATGGTGATGGTGATGGTGATGATGATGTCGTTGTCCATGCTATTTTCTTGGCAGCGATACAGACATAGTTTACCATTGCCTTCTTCCAGGATATTCTTTTGACTTCCCACTGTAGCCTACAGCCCTAGGCCTTCTGGGCAGTTTCATATTCAAGGGTTACCTTTATCCAATCCAGACAAGATCAGCCAGGTGCTGTCCCCTGCCGAGGCTTAGGGTGATAATCTAAAATAAATACATGATCTAAAATAAAGCTAAGTGAAACCAGTTCAAACAGAAATGGTAAAGGTATTTTAAGAAACTTTTATTTTGTGTGTCATATCATACAGGTAGAGATCCAGCTTCCCCTGAGGTATAAACATGTGCAATTTAAAACATGGCCACCTCCCTCTGTCTAAGTAGCAACTGTAGTAAGGGATCGCAGGCCCAGTAGAAACGTTGATGCTCTCGAGCTTCGGGTGCACCTTATAGCGTTGCTCATTTTGTGCTAGCATCTCTTCTGATTGTGCTCCTGGAACAGAGGCAGGATACCCATTTGGCCAGCAAACAGGCCTCCTGTTAAAACTGGATTTATTTTGTCCGCAGGAAGACTATACCACCGAAGAGGAGGAGGATGCTTCTGGCGATGACCAGTTGGAAGGCAGCAGTAGCGCCGGTGGGATCCTGGACCTGCTCAAAGCCAGTCGGCAGGTTGGCGGTGCTGACTACGATGAGCTGAGGTGAGAGGTGACCTGATGGGAACTCGGGAGGGGTGGGGTGGGGGAAGCAGGTTATAATCCTTCATAGGCCATTGCTTCTGTTTCCTGGGATGGGCGTGTGCAGACTAGACCATGGGACCTCCTGGAGCTCTGCTACTTCAAGCAGACCCCAAAGCCTTGCCTGTTTCGCCCGGCCTATGATGGAAGAGGCACGGCTCTACTGGAGCCCTGTTATATGTATAGTGCAGTTCGATTTTAACAATCTGTAGTTGACCACCTGTTTTTTTATCCCTGGTAAGCTGCCTTTTAATACTTGAAAACAATATATTTTGACATTACGGGTAGATTCTTTCCCCCTCTTCAGCAAACAGGTTTTCTGATGTTTGAGGGGGTGACAGAGTCTAATGGGGCTTCTGTTTTTGCTGCAAAGCAAGGAGCCAGAGAGGTCTCCTCCAACTTCCACTTTGGGAAGATACCTTTTCCACCTCAGTCAACAGCTCTCAAACCGTGAGGTTTTATCTCAGGCACATACAGGTGCAGGGAGTACACCTATAGGCTCCTCAGACTGTGGGTTTCGTAGGTCTTCCCCTCCACCAGACCCAAAGAAGGGTGGAAATAAGGAGTGGGATGAGCAGGGTGTCTCTTTTGGATTACTAATTTCCCATTTATGAAGGTCTGCTGCCACATCAAACATCATCCTCAACACTGGGAACGGTTATAACCAAGATGGAACCCTTTCATGTCTTTCACTTTATTATACCTATGGGAGGACTGTGATGACTTAGGGATTTAGAATAAAAAACTTTCAGTTTTTTTGTCTGTAAACAGCATGATGTTTGCATAGCATTTCACCTTCTACCATCCAGACTGGTTAGATCATGACTCCCCTTCTTAGCCTGTTTAGGAAGCAGAACCAATATGAATGGTGCAAATTGCAAGAGAAATTATGCAAACGTGTTTGGAGGTCATATTTTGTCAGTGCACTGAACACACCGATGTCCTATCTACGGGTTCTGAGATGTATTGTTGTTCAGGGGTTTGCTTGACAATGCCGTGTTGCGTGTGGTGTCCCAGTGCTGATGCAATAAAGGCTTCTCCTGTACTGTCTCCCCAGTGATGCGCCTGCCTCTCCCAGTACTCAGGAAGCCATCCAGGGCATGCTGTGCATGGCCAACCTCCAGTCGTCATCCTCAGGAGGGGCCTCCAGCTTGCAGGCCTGGTTGGCAGCTGGGCACGAACGTGGCTCTGCAGGAGCCTCCGGCACTCAGCGCTCAGGGAAGAGGCCCATCAAACGGCCAGCTCACCACAGCACGGACAGCGAGGAAGAGGCCAGCATGGATGAACAGGAGAGCCTTGGAGCCTGTTTTAAGGACGCTGAATATAGTAAGGAATGGAGAGAGATTTATTTCTCTGTTGGAAGGTTCTACAAGAAAAATAGGACTTTCTTCTCCTGGGCAGAAATGTTAAAAGGCAGCTTGAAAATCATTGGCCTGTAAGAGTGCTGTGCATTGCAGAATACGGGTCTTTATATACACTCGTACCACCTGTACAACAGTTTCCAAGCTGGAACTCTAGTGAAGTTCTAAGGAGACGTGTTTGAGTAGGCATGTCTAGGCTGTACCCCTACACTGACTCCTGTATAGGTCCAGCCAGGTACAAATTCCACTGACCTCCATAAGCAGGTCACCCCAGTTTGGGGCTCTTCAGGTGTGTTGGGCTAACGTAGCTAATTGCCTGAGAACTGTAAGTGGAAACTTCAACACATCTGAAGGACACCAATTTGGGGAAGGCTGGAGAATTGGCCTGTAGCCGTTAAATTGCTCAAAGCATCTCCCAGCCAGTTTCCCATTTCTCAGTGCCCCAACTGCTCAGTTTCACAGCAAGGCTTTCTAATTGTTCTCTTGCTCCTGCTACATCAGTGTATTTTGCCACGGGCCTGGGTAGGTGGCACTTGATCACTAGCAAGTAGTTAAGGAACAATACACAGCCTGCCTCTGCTTCCCCCCAAATGACAGTTTCTGTAGGGCTGTTCTGACTTGTCCAGCTGGAAACAGTTGTACCAGCTGTGCTGAGTACACATGCTGGGTTTCCTTTCCCCAGTGTGCAGAGAAAAATGCAAGCTAGTAGGGATTTCCAGGTTTAGCAACAATCATGATGGTTTTTAGAGCTGTGCAAGGAATTCAGTGGGGAGGAGGCAGGCAGGGTGTCTAGAATGAGGAGCCAACCGTCTTCTAAACTTCTTGGAAAGATTGTTCTGGCCTGAAATCCAGGACCTTGTATGGAATTTGGTCTTGTTTCACTTCTGGACTTCCCCTTGCAGAGAGGAATCTTTGCCGATCTGTATGGAGAGAAGCTGCTTTGCCCAGCATAATTCCATTTTTTATCATCCTGTCTTTTCAGGCTTTCCTACTCAGAACTATATGCAGCCTTCTGGTTTTCTGCAAGTCCCAAGCTTCTTCCCTTATCCTGGTTTAAAAATAATTGAATCAGAAAGAGCCACGTTTTGTGAAAAGGGGTTAAAGGTGCACTCTTTAATACATGAAAAGATATCAGATTGATATAATTTGAGTGGAGAAGGGCTGATGGTTATAGCAATAAAGCATTTGTCCTCATATTAGAGAAATCTAGTTTCCTTTCACGTGCCCCATCGCAACCACAGTTTCCTGTTTGCCCCATCTATATATTCAGACCTGAAGAATTCACAGTTCATTCCCTCTCTCTGCAGTTTACCCTTCCTTGGAATCAGATGAGGATGACCCGGCCTTGAAGTCCCTGCCAAAGAAGAAAAAATGCACAGATGATGCTCCGTGGAGTCCTAAAGGTAACAACGCATCACCTGTAACAGACTGTGTGCCTTTAATGTGATCCTATGCAGAGGGATAAAAAATGCAATTCCCTGGGAATAATTCTTTTAAAAAGCAAATTTCTAACCCTTTTGAATACAAAAATATATCTGAAAGTGTTTGGGGTGAAAAGTGTACCGAGGATTCCAGTGCTGGAAGAGTTGCTGAAGACTTTGTATTTGAGGATGGGATTTCGTTGTCCGGTGCTGATCTTTGACTGTCCCCGTGACCAGCAATTACAGAGTGAACCGGGTCACAATTCCTTGGAAATACACAAAGCACAGTGTGCACACTAGTATGGTTACAGGCTTTACCTTTTGTTTCTGCAAGGCATGGGAACACTATAGGTCAGTGTTTCTCAACCTTGGCCGCTTTAAGCTGTGTGGACTTCAACTCCCAGAATTCCCCAGCCAGCTGGCT